GCTTTAGTTTTGAAACTGGAGCTTGTATTAATTATGTTTCAGTGCTGTCACTATTTGTGCTAGTGTAAGAAATATCAGTGTCAAGKCAGGGAAAGCAACCTCTAAGTTCCGTTTGTGCAGTAGGTGTGACATAACCTGTCTGGCATTTTATATGGCCAGTTGCAATCATTTGTGGTGTCATTCAGCTAATCAATAATGGTTTGCATTAATGGACTAATTAAATGTCCAACAGACATAAATATTCTTGCTATCACTGAGTAGAAGGATTTGTTTGCCTGCTCTAAATCTTACCTTTCGTGTTTACCCATGGTACACTTGCAAAAAAAGTTATATCCTTTATGATACTTTTATTTTTTGTCTCTATTTTGGAAAAAATAAACCCCTTACTTTTTGCTGATGCATCTGGTACTTTGAGTGCTTAAAAACAGCGCAATTGATTACTTCTGATTTAAAAACTTCTGAGAAGGAAGTTGCATAACAAGACTGGGAGCTCAAATATGTGAGTTTTGGCAAAGAGCTGCGGAAGAGAGGCCTGTCTGTAGCAACCTCGCAAGGAAAGAACTTGACATTTTGAAAAAATTTTATTGACCAGTGTGAACAGGGAACGGGAAGTCAAATCACTCTCACAGGCAATCTGCAGTCTCTTCCTTGCTGACCTTTAAATGCCACTTAGTGTCATCAGAAAGTCAAGGAAATGCTAATAACAGGGCTTTGGGTAAGAAAGTTAAGGGACATCTTTTAAAAACAATTGTAAGCTGATTTCCATTTTTATACACATCTGGTTTTGTAAAATGGAATTCTCACGACAGTACAATTGTATTTTTAATAGATTAAACTTAGCTTTATTTGTATACGGCTTTAAAATTTTCAAAGTATGCATAAGATGCCAGAACTTCTGTTTATTTTTTAAAAAGGGGTAGTTTGAAAAACATATTTTACAATTGTGTTCTAGGTTGATGACCTTGGAATAGAGACTGGCCTCAGCTTTAAGCTCTTAAGCTATCTTGTGTTAAGTTCAGCAGGCTATAGGACTTGAAAAGTCTTGTAGAAAGCTGACTACTTGGTGTCTTTTGAAAATGGGACTGGTATCCCTACCTCACCAGGTTTCTCTCAGCTTTCATRCCTCTGTGTTTTTAGCAGTCCCTATTTGCCCTTCAGAAATGTCTTTGAAAAGCTAAATTTCAATTAGAGGGACTAGTAGGAAAAAAGTCTTTAAATTAARTTGCTGAACCCCAAAGAAAATACCTGGTATGTTAGGGGAAAAAAAAAAAAAAGTTCCTCGGATTTCAGAAGTTTAATGAGAGGGAAAAAACACTAGCTGGCAAGTTTAACATGGAAGGTAAAGAAACCTGCCATTAGGTAGGTACAGGCAGTTGTTTTCTTCCTTCTTCCAATATTTGCTTCATGGAATTGAAATGAGCTTTAATCCGTGGTTGTGCTCCAGTAWCATATTCCAAACCCTTGCTCAGCTACTGCCTAACCTGACTGCTGACCTATGTTGGTCTATTTGGTTTTGTGTTGGGATTGTTTTAATTCGGGGGGAAAAAACAACCCCAAGCCAAAATGTTTCTTTTTCTTGCTAGTTTGCATTACTTAATTGCTGTTGGAACTGGTAGCAAAGTTCTCAAACACTGGTGGCTTAACCAACACTGYGATTTTGCAGATTGGGAGACATTTTTGAACGCTCTTTTTATAATTAGTTTCCATGAATTTTCTTTTTATTAATTGATGGTTCAGGTTTTTTTTTTTTTCTTTTTTGTTTGTTTTTCTTATGAAACACATGGATTCTGTGAACTGATTTGGATTCTGAGCAGAGCATTCATGCTGACCTCTTTGTCAAATGAAACAGAGGATAAGGGCTGACTTTTTTTAGCCAGCAACATTGGCTGCAATTCCTGAACTTGGCTTTCCTYACTTATACTGCTGTAATTTGAGTAATTCAATCAGTTCTTTGATAACAAATTAGAAAAACAAGAAATGAGAGATGGTTGGAGTATTTGGCATGTACATATCATGTCCCTGCAATTTTGCTTGATTAATGTTTAATGCTCTCAATAGTTGCCTTGCTAAACTGCCTGAAAAAYAAACCTCCAAAATCTCGTGATTTGGAAAGAAACTGCATTACATCTAACCCAGCATAAAATATAAAAGCTGGGCTAGGTGTTGTCTCTTTGTATTAGTTTTACAACAAAAGACAAGTCATGCCAAAACCGCTTGTGTCAGTGTTTTGTGTCCAGGGAGGTTTTTCTTCTCTTAAAGCTGATGAAAAGGACTACACACATGGGAGAGTTTGGAGGTCTGCCTCCAGTTAGGCAAAGCTGTTGTTGCTGCATGAGAGGGCTTTCAAAACTAGTTCGAAATTGACCTCATTCCCTTCCCCTGGAAGCTGTGGTGAATTTTTATTTTAGGGCAAGTGTCTTTACATGAGCATTCTTGAAATGCTCAGTAAGGGAATAATGGGCTTGATATAAAGATTGGACTTGGAAGAGAAAACAGAGATGAATTTCCAAGGTTGTTACTTTTTTTTTTTTCCTATCATTAAAGTTCTTTTATTATATACTATTTACAGAGTCATAGAAGTCATGTTTCCCCCTCCCCCCCCGTATTTTCTGTTAGGAAATCCAAAAAAAAAAAAGAACAAACCAGCTTTAAACTGCTTRGTTGTTCTTCACTGTATTCCTTCACAATGACCTGTAGCTTGGAAAAGGATTCTGGAAGCTCTTCAGCCACAAGATCCTGAGACAGAATTGAATATTCATTTAAACTGGTTATGGCCTATCATCTTACAGCACCCTGTATTTGTTATGCTAGGAGAGAAGTCTTAGGGCTTTCTTATTGTTTTCATACATCTTGGTCTCCTACCAAAATTTCTCAACGTTTTTTATCCAGAAGGGTAAATAATTAATACAGTCACAAAAGTATACCTGCAGAATCCACTTTAAAGTTGTTTTATAAATGTGTAAAAAGAGGAAACTAATTTTTATTTCACTCTGTGAACCCTGTCGTTCCTGTAGGAGTAAATAACCTTTATTTGATAGGACAATACRCACTGGTACAATATGCACTAATAATGACTTAAAACCTGTAGCTTACAGATGAGATCATTCTTTTTTTCCACTGCCCAAAATACAGGGCCAACTGTAGACTATTTCTTTATAAGATTATATCTAATATTTTAAACACCAACTTCTACTTCAAGCTTTTTTCTTCATTTGCTAGAAGGGTAAAGATGCTATCTATGCTGTTCAATTTAGAGAAATTGGTGATGAAAAAGATGTGGGAAACACTGCTTTCAGTCAGAGAAGACTGGTATCRTGCCCCACTTGTGCTAAATACATTATTCCAAGATGAAGTGTGCTATGCAGTGTGCAACATAAAAGTTAACAAAAGCGTCTAGGTCAGTAATTGGTATCACATGCACAGTAAATGCAGGACAAGGCACAAATCTGTTTGCACTTCAGTTTCTTTCACAGGAATCTACAGAACATGGAACTTTACCAGGCAGTAAAGGGACCTGTATTATAAGTATTTTTGCATTACTCTATTTTTTAGCTCTTTTTGCTTTATCAGTGCTTCCTCAATGGTCCTAAAACTAAATGAATTGTGTTTTTAAGCTTGCTGCCCTGTGTTTTTTATTTTTACCTAACCTCTCACTTGGCACTTGTGGAAAGAAATTATCTTTTCTTTTTTTAAAGTAATGGCATTTTGGGTGGCCTTTAGTTGCCTGCCAGTATGTATTCTGTGGTTTTGGACAAAATTCCACCAGAGAGCTTTATGTCCTTGATGGGAGAGTTTTGCAAGTGTGGTAGCATGTTATGTTGTGATAAGARCAGCATTATCAACCATGCTCATCAGCCTGTGTTTCTAGAACAGCTATTCTGCTCCAGGTCATGGTGAAGTGGTATCAGTGGTGATTCCACAGAAGATACTTCAGGGAAGAAGTTACAGTCAAATAACTTAATTAAAAAGTAAAATCTCCAATTTATTGTGGAAAGTTCTCTTAATGAAAAAAAGGAGAATGTGACTCAGATTTGAGGGAAAAGTTTTTGCAAGGTTTTAATTAGCAGAAGAAAAAAAAAGTTAATTGAATTTAAGAGTAAAAACTAAYGTTAAAATGAATATTTTCAAGCAATCCTAGTTCTAATCTTTAGTATTTGTAGATTTGCTGCTATGTGACTGCATGTGTTTCTATATTTCTATATATATCTATATTACAAACTGTTTGTATATTAATATAAAAATGAAGTAACGTCTTTATCTGAAATCCATTGGAGGTTTTTCCATTGATTTTATTAACTTTTTTAAGAGAACTAAAGTATTTTTTAGCAGTAAGGAATCACTGAAATAGTTTTCTGTTTCTCCTTTCATCATRTGCTGTTAGAATCCAGAGTGGTGCCTGTCAGTAGGACTTCTTTTCACCAAGTTAAATGGTTGTTTTCTGTAGGTTGAAAGTGATTATGCTTGATTGTGAATGTAAATTGGAAATAGTTTAATGGTAGCAGAATTTCTCTTATGCAAATCTGCAGAGAAGACTCAGGTAAATCAGGCAGATTGATAATAAAATAGGCAAGCCTGAGACTTGACAGCATTTATTAATACAGTGTTCTCATTTAAGAGTAAATCTTGCTTCCAGAAATGTATAACGCTTGTAATTTAAATGCAACTGCTAATGCATTTGGATAACTGCAATTACATGTCTTGATGTGAAGCTCATATTTTAAAGAGCAAGCAGCAGCAGTGTTTCTGTCAATACTACTGTTAAACCACAGAAGGTGCTTATCGTGCCTCCTGTCTTATTAATACTGCCTGCAAGCTTTGTTCCAGTTGACCTTTGGAAGTTTCCAAAAGTTAGAGTTTGCAATTCAGCAGGTTTGGCAGAGGAACATATATGATTATTCATATCATTGTTTAAACGGTAACCAGATGTGTCTTGTTTTTCTTCTTTCTTTCCCATTGTTTTTAAAGAGTGATGTTAATCCAAGATGTTAATCCATTTACAGGGTTTTTCCACAGCACCAAATTCCCCTTCGGCGAATTCTCGTTCCAGTAGCCTGGGCTCATCGCTGTCCCTTGGTAACATCTCTGGAATGACAGCAAACCCAGAAGTGAAAAAGCGCAGAGCACCTCCTCCACCAGTTGCGACACCGGTACTGCCGAACGCGGAGGTGAGGGGACAAGAAAGGACAGCAGCACAGGTAACAGTGACACCTCTGAACGGGCTCCTTTGCTGTGCTGGGTGCCGTCAGTTCATTCAGCAGTCCTAAAATCATTCACARGTATTTTGGTTAGCCATTAGCTGCAGCTGACCAAAACTCCATCTTCCAAGACAAAGTTATCCAAAGTCTTAGGGTTTTGTACACACTTACGGAACTTTGTTGAGTCCGCCCTGAGCTTTCTTCCCTGTCAAGAACCATTCTAAACCAGAAAAATTTTGTGAGGCATTATGCTAAGAGGAGGGTAAAGAAAAAGTAAGGCAGAAAAGCTGTAAATTGTATAAGGTGACAAGGTATCCTTACTGGCCAGGGCAGTCCTGGAGAGYGGGTGACAGTTCTGATGAGTGACAAAAGCCTTCAGTGTGCTGTTTTTTCCAGATACTTGCCGGGTTATGGCCTGCCTCCCTGTTTGCATTGCTGCCATGGGATACCAGAATATCTGCTCTGTTTTCTGAGTTGTGCCATGTGACCTTTTAAAGCAGTGCTCTGGTTTTGCTTTTATAAAAGGTCAGTTTTCCGCATTGCAGTTACTGAGAGCTAAACAGAAATGGGGGAAACCTTTCTGGGGACCTAAGCCTTAGAAAAGAATAGAGCTAAGGGAAGAGGAAATYGCTCTTRCTYTTACAGTGACACTCAGATGTGTGTTATTAAACCTGCACAAGCACATTAATTCTTCTGGTTCCAYCAGCAACTACTAGTATTACAGTCTAAATGTAAACTGTACACRGCAGCATGTAAAGCATTATATGGATGCCAAAGAGGAATGCAAGGAGCCAATACCATGAAAGCTGTGTAATGTGGACTGACTCTTATCTTAGCTTAGGGCTTTCACATCTGCAGCWGATTGATCTTTGGAAAGCAAACTGTGCAAAATGGAGTCAGAAAGGAATCTCTGAGTTCACTATAAAGAAAGAGGAGGAGGAGCCTAGTGCTCAGTGTCACTCCCTGTCACTCTTATATTTATCTGCATTAAGACATAYGTTAAATGCCTTCTCCAGGGAAGCATTGTGTAATAAAAGTTGATGGCACACTCTTGGTAAAGGATTGTGGATTTTTATTTTCCCATTCTTAGGATATGTAAGTGTGATTGCTGGAACATAGCAGTGTTTCATCTTTCTAAATTAAAATAGGTGCCTTTCAAATAGCACTGATTTATAGACACAGCTGAAGAGAAATAACAGTTTTTCTTGCAACATTKGTCCACTTTTTCTTACAATTTTCTTTTCAAATTCCTATGTAAATATTTTTATKATGTTTCTTGCATCCCCTAGAGTTAAAGATTGAATGTGTTTAAGATAAATAGATATTTTTGTAAAAAAATGCTATGGCAATATAACTCCTAAATTTACACAAGTATGGTAATCACTGTCTATATTATTCTGCCATTCTCTTCAGCTGATCTCYTTCCAGTATGGCATTGAGATTTTAAATTGAGATGCACAATAACACTGCAACATTTCTATTTTCAGCATTGTTTCAAATAGGTTAAAATGCTGGGTTTCTGAAGCCATTGGGAAAAAAGATGTATTTTATTTATTGCAAGTAGTGTACAGTACAGTATCATCTTCGAATTCCCTTAGTCTGAAGGAAGAGCTGTGTTGAAGAAGGGAAGCAGATGAAGGTTGTGTCAGAGGATTTTCCATAGCAAAGTTCATTTTGGGKGAAAGAAATGTCCTGTGTAGCTGACAAAGTCAGTGAAGACCACRGTATGGAGGAGTATGTTTGGCTGCATTTGTTGAGTAAAGGACATCTTTCTGGAAATGATGGCATAGGTCAAAATATTAGAGAGTTATGTTGTGTTTCTGAAGCCCCCAGGCTGAMAGTTGCTCAAAGGTTGMMATGTAGTTTTAACAKGAATGGAGTAGAAYTGAAATAARGCTCAAGTTTCATGAAGTAATCAARAAGTGAAGGAAGAAATTAATTATTYARTATTACAAGGCAAGGTAGCAACAGAGATATTGTTTCTAAGAAAACCCAAACAGTTCAATTTTACCTACGTGCAGACTAGCCAGTTTGCTGTGAAAATAGAGTAAAAAGTCTCAGGGTGTAAGTTTATTTCTTTAGTTTATGGGAAAGAATTAGCACTGATCTTTTTTTTCAGGGAAGGACGTCAATTCCTTATTAATGGACTTCCTTCCATAAAAAGATAAGATGTTTGTTTAGAAAACTTTATTTATGTGCAACTGTTACTAACAGGAAGATCCTGCAAAAGGGGAACATGTTTGTTTCCAGTGAAGCTAACACACTAATAGAAAATGAAAAAGGTGATACTCTGAACTCTCGGAAAGATTTTTTCATTTTTAGCTGTCTGGTTCCATAAAATCGTGTAGGAAGTAAAATACTGTAGCTGTTACAAACACCTGTAGTTTGACTTTCCAACCCAATAARCGTGTTATTTTTAACCCATTGTTATGATCCAGGCATAGATGATTCTTTAGGGTTATATATATCTCATCTCCCTGCCTAGTGGTTCCAAACAGAAATTTCCATGTGTATGAAGACTGGGGTGTTTTAGTTTATGCTGTACATTCAGATTTTCTTTACTCACTTATCTGTATAGCTGACTTATTGCACTACAATTTTACCATATTGCACCTTTTGTTCCTGTAGGGCTTAAAATAATTTATCGCCTTGTGGATAAGGCCCTTGCAGTAATTTTGCTTGTTTTTTCATGCAGCAAAATTAGTTTTCCATGTCTATTTAAAGGTAGCATTCCCTCTGTAATTGTTTAAAATCTYCCCTAGAAAATATTCATATGCTGAACATGCACGGAATAGTTYGCAAAGGAATGCAGAGTCAAAGAAAGGAGTCTACAGATTTCTTCCCTGGAGACTTCACCCCTGTTTTTTCAAACATTTTCCAAATGATGCTATTTAGGATAATGAGAATTCACTTGAAAAAATATTCTTCAAAAGGCCAGGGTGTATAACAATTCCAGGACAAAATCTGGGAGCTTTGATMCTTACAGAGCAAGGAGGTCTTCTCCTTTCTTAATTTGCATCACGGAGCCCACACCATTCAAAGAGCAGAGCAGAGCAATGTAGGGGTGAGTTATAACTGAACACCCTTTGCAGTTTCTGTGGTCTGTCACGGCACTCCAGATGTGCTTGCAGAATTTGGGGCCACCTTCATGTGAGCCTAGTATAAACTGATTCTGACTCTGCTCCATGCCCCCCAAAAATGCACCTTATAGACAAAATGAAAAAGAAGTCCAGTATGGGTATGAAATTCTAGACAGAGTATACAGAGAAAAGCCACACATGAAATCAGACAGAACTACAGGCATCTCCTTAGATGCTTATTCAGTGATTCTCTTTAAAAKAAAGGTGTAAAAGAAGTGTGCTTTTCTTGGAAAAAATACCCTTTTGGAAGAACTTGAAAGAACTGTGAAATTGAATATTTGAGTCTTTAGGAAGTCAAGAGTATTGTGCACTGGCAAATTAGTYTATGGGAATAATACCTTTTTTTTGTTTTTTATCATGTATGGGGAAGTACAGAAATTGGAGTGAGGGGTATGATAAAGTTGGCCTCAGGCTTTTGTCTTCAACAGCCTTGTCTGTGAATTGCAGTGGTTTTTTCAGAAAAAGTTCATGGGGTTTTTTGGAGACAACGTATGTTTAGATGAAGACACTTCAGTGCCTTCGTGAGTACAAAAGCTCTGATGTCAACTTCAAAAGTCAGAAATGCATCTTGCAGGCTGTGATAAAGGAACTGTGTGTTATTTCAGCTGCTATCATTTTCAGAACAGAAGAACTGTAAAATAATAGGTAAATGTAACAGGAGGCATCAAGGATGTTTTACTAGCCAGCCAAATTCCTGTACTAATAGAATAGAATGGTATGTCAGATACAGTAGTCTAACATACTTGTTTCACAGACCCTAATTTTAGTGGTTACATGGCAAGACAGTGGGCTTAAATAAAAACTGTAATGATGTTTTCAGTGCAGGTGGAGAACGGGACTCACACTTTTAGAGTGTTGCATTATAAACCAACACAACTTTCAGATTTATTTCCATGTTTATGTAGTCTCCTGTCTGTGGCTATGGACAAAGTAATATATGTAATATACTATGGGGCTTGCCGTGCTTCTTAGGTTCTCTCTTCTCCATTTRGATCTTCTGGGTTGCTGAGGACAGTTGTTGGCTCTGAATTATTGGTCAAGGCCTTATTTTAGAGCAGAATATTTGCACCCTGTGTTTTAGGAAGATTGATGTTTTCTCACCAATATAACTTACTCATTGAAGAGTCTTACTCACCTGAATGAAAGGCAAGAGAGCCAAAA